TAGAGAGTATCTGTAAAGAGGAGTGGATCAAAATCCCTCCTGAGATGTGTGCAAACCTGGTGACCAACTACAAGAAACGTCTTACCTCTGTGCTTGCCAACAAGGGTTTCTGCACCAAGTACTAAGTCATGTTTTGCTTGGGGATCTCATATTTATTTCACTCACGGAAATGCAAATCAATTTCTAAACCTTTATATAATGTGTTTTTTCTGGATTTTTTGGTTGGTATTGTGTCTCTACACATTAAAATAAACCTACCCATAAAAATTACACACCCTTCATTTCTTTGTAAATGGGCAAACTTACAAAATCAGCAGGGGATCAAATATTTTCCCCACTGTATCACTGCAGTAGATTTGGGTGATATTTAATAATACCAAATATTAAAAAATACTTCTACGTTACTCATTACAAATATTACTAGGTAGGTAGGTAGGTAGGTAGATAGATAGATAGATAGATAGATAGATAGATAGATAGATAGATAGATAGATAGATAGATAGATAGATAGATAGATAGATAGATAGATAGAGACGTGACATGTGGTTACCCATACTAGGAATTAGTGCTCTGCGTTTAACCCATCCTAAGTGCACACACACACACCGTGAACACACACGCGGATCAGTGGGCAGCCATTTATGCTGCGGCGCCCGGGGAGCAGTTGGGGGTTCGGTGCCTTGCTCAAGGGCACCTCAGTCGTGGTATTGAAGGTGGAAGAGAGCGCTGTACATTCACTCTCCCCACCTACAATTCCTGCCGGACTTGAGACTCAAAGGTTGAGAACCTTTGGGTTGCGAGTTCCCAAACTCAAGGTATGTGCAACCTTTGGGTTGCGAGTCCGACTCTCTAACCATTAGGCCATGACTTCCCCTTCAATAGATAGATAGATAGATGCAGTTAACTCAAGGTATGTGCTGATCCAGTATTGTTCAGAGGTTGCTGTGAGGTTAGACTGGAACCTTTGAAGATTCACTAAGGAGTGGGCTGACACTTTATGATACAGAGTGGGAAATTCAAGGCCAAGCCCTGCAGAGGAATCCATGTGTACTCCAAAAGAGACCTGGGAAGGAAGACTGCAAATCCACACTCATGCAGCGGACACTAGCAAACATGATCATGCTTATCAGTTATATTAGTATAGTTCATTATTATAGCACATTATATTAGTATAGGACATGAATTATATAAGTAGATTCACAAGCCTGTCATGGCAACTAAAGTGTTTGATTGTATTATTAAAATCTAACAAAACAGAAGGTGGTCTAAGACTTTGCCCATTTTTTATTTATTTGTTTTTTGGTGTATCCACCTCAACTACACTTAGTAATAGATTGAACATGAAAAAACACATGAAACTGGATTTATACATTTATAAATGGTTTGAAATCAAATCATTTGTTAATGCGTCTCGGTCTGAATATGATCACATAAATTTCCCCCCCCCCAGATTTCTTTAAGTTTGCATCATTACTATGAGCCAGTGTGGAAATGTTAGCAAAAGCAGCTGCAGTCTAAACAACAAAACATCTGGTCAAACTAAAATTGCGGTTTTAACAGTTGGATTTGTTCTAAAAACCTAGAACAGCAAGGAAAAGACCACAGACCACCTGAACTCAAGCTTTTATAACCAAACACAATTAGCTCTAGTTCCACAATCAGAAGGTGATCTAGCCCATTGGTTAGAGCTGGGAATGGTAACAAAACTACTGTAGGTTCAAACCCTGCAAGAACTGAGCCATGCAGTTGAGTAAGGGTTGCTTGAGGGTTCTTTTTAGTTGCTTTTGAATTAAGTATGAGCTAAAAGACTAATTAGTATCCATTAGTTAAGACAAATGAAAAGAGATGGGATGCCAGGCTTAGATATCAAAGACTTTGCAATCAGACATTCTGCCAAGCACCCATTACTCACCTGGAAGATGAGCACTTTGAAGTTCTTCCTCTTGAGGAGCTCATGTTCATTTTTCTCCAGTTTTTTTATCTGTCCCGCTTGCTTCTCCAGGTCCGTGCGCACACTCTTCACATTGACGTTCACCTTCCGCACCTTGTCCAGGAGCTTGTTGACCGTCCCAGTCGTTCCAACATGACTCTTCGCCAGCTTGGCAAGCTCCGTCTGGATGCTGCTCATGTTCTTCTCCATGGTCTCCTGCTTGGCCTCGAGACCTGTCTGAGTCTGCTGGATCTGGTCCACCACACCTATGATATGGTCTAGGAGTGCCAGGACCATCATGCCGGTAGCCTGGGCCTCAGATTTCTGGCCCTCACCACTGCCACCTCCATCGAGTCCTGGCCCCAACACCAGGTCCACCTCTTCTGCTGGGTCATCGTCATCACCTCGTTTTGATTTGAACACCTTGGAGGTGGTGGCAGGTTTGGTGGCAGGAGGCACCAAGGCGACCTCCTCATCGTCATCAGAGACTTCGGCGAAGACGGCACGCTCCAGTTTGAAGTCTGTGTCGGCCATGGCTTGATTTCAAGTAGACTCCGATGGAACACACACAAGCTTACTTGCAGACAGAGGGCAGAAGCATGTACACTTGTGGCACTTGTGTGCAAGAATGCCGCCCTAGGGTAAAAATAAAGCACTAAAAAAAGACTTGAATGACAGTAGACACCTAGCAATAGGAGCGGAATGACTCCAACTTGCAAGCAACAAGCTTCGGCAACTCTTTTAAACTCTTCTTGGTTACTTCTAACCAATCATTCTTTCAAGTCACATGTACTACCTACTACCACTATGCACTACTCTCTAGGTTTGCTATAATGCCTCAAACTTTCCCTCCCTTCCTCTTTTCGTTAAGTCTACTCTGGGACCTCGGCCAGTCGGTGGAAGCAGACTCTCTCTCCAAGGTTTGTGGGAGTGTGTGTGACCACAGCTCCCTGTGAAGTCCGTCCGTCAGGTCTTCCATTTCCCTCCTTAGTCCAGCCCTCCACTGTGATCACTTACTGTAAGGTCACACCCACACTGACCCTTTAAGGGGAGTCTCCACCCTCCCTAGAGCCTGGCAAGGGACACAAGAATACATACCCACCCATTCATTTATGCAAGAGTATGAGACAAACAACTCAAATCGATTTATGACTCATTAAAGAGTACTGGAAACACCATAGGCATTACAATAAATTAGTCTAGATAAATGGACACTTGTATAACAATAATGTTTTAAACAGCATGTGTTCCAAGTGCGTTAATATTTAGTTCAACAGGACTAAGACATTTCTGTTTGTATGGCTCCGATGGCGTTTGCCAAGTTCCAGACCAGAGTATGACAGTGGTGTGGAGTGGAAGCAGAGTTGTGTGATTTTGATGAGCAAGGAGCTGTTTTATTTATTTATTTTTAATGTTCGCTTATCACCCCAGCATCACTGGAATGAGTTTCCTCTCTAGCAAGTATGAGCGATTAAAGGACTCTTTAAGATGGGAGAGGGGAAACTATAAAGTTTGGTACTGTTTGTTTGTGTAGAAAAATACTGGTCAAATTTTGCCTGAAATTAAATTAAGCAATATCACAAGAGTATGAGTGCTGTCTTTCTAAATATCAGCTTGGCTAAATTGAAACCACAGCAATAACACTTAAAAAAAAAAAAAAAAAAAAATATTATGTAAAGTTTATTAACATTAAAATTTTAGGTATCATATAATTATACTATAAATTATTAATAATGATTATTAAATTAATTGTATCATACACATATTGACATGGTTCATTAACATATCTTTTCTCACATGTATGCAAAAAAGAAAAAAACAAAATGAGTTCTGGTCCACTCCTTCCTCTTTATTGGCAAACAAAACAGACATAATCCCTCAGCTTCACTAACTGCTTTTACTTGGTATAGTTAATTTCTCCAAAACTCCCTCTGACATCTATCAAACCAACACATTTTCTTCAGGAGCCAATGCATGCGAATGTTGTAAACTTATTTCTAAACAACAATCAAAAAACCCAGAACTGGGCACTGCAGCAGATTCATGAGATTGACATAATTTAGATGTGCATTTGCATTTAATCCTAATAGCAAACCACACACTAAAAACAAACAAAAAAACAAACACCGGCAACACAGTTCAAAGCTAACTAAAATATAATTATTCTTTACTTATGTTTTTGAAGGAATGCAAAGATCTGCAATAAATCTGAGAGGATTATCTGCATCTATTATTCAGATATGCTTGATGAGGATAGCATCCTCTCAGCAGAAGCTTGTGAAATGCCATAAAGTGAAGCTTTCTTTGCTGTATTTGAAATGAGGTCCCTTTGCATGAGATCTATTATATAAATGTGTCAACATAAAGGATAAAAGATACATAAAAAAACAAACTCTAATAATTTAAGAGACTGGTTTGAAGTTATACAAAACGAGTTTGAATTATTACATACCAATATATATTGATGCAAGAATTGAAGTTGAAGAATTGAAATTGAAATCGTTGCGAATATGTTTTGCAGATCTATAATTTTCAGCTTCAACTAATTACATCTTGTTTACCTGCTTGTAAATTATTCCATTTCTTTCCTGATGTAGAACATCTGAGAAATTTAGAGCCTTACAAAGTCACAGTGTTCACACAAATCATGAAATCTCACAAGCAATCTGATAGTTTGGAGGGAGAGAATGAGGTTTAGTCTTCTAACTTGCCCTCCAGAATGCTGTCAAATGTAAAAGGCATGAACTTGAAGCCTTGTCCAGTGTAGAATTTATTCTGGAACTCCACCCTACAGAAAATAAGTGGGGAAACAAGGTCAGTGGATTGCAGAGCATAAAAAAAATACAAAAACAAAATAAAATAAAATAAAATGTGATTATTTTCTAGCATAATTTTTTTTGGACATAGATTAGATAAAAATTGTGGTAGCATCTTTTCAGGAAGTGAGTTTGGTTTTAGAATGCAGTTCTCACACAAACTCAATTTTGTGTGTAAATAATAACGCACTCAGAAGAGTCAATCCAACTGTATTTTGCTAGACTAGCAGTGTGTATGTAGCCATTGATAGGGGCAACAAAGAGTCATCTGCTCTTTAAACTTTAAATGCTTTAATTTATAAAGGCAAACATTGTGTGTGTGCACTTACCAATGCAATCTGAGAGCATGAAGAAAGGCAGACAGCCCTTCCATGATCAACAGAATAAACACTGTCAGTGTAGCAAAGAAGGCAAAGATGATTGACAGGGCAAAGAATCCACCAAAATTCCTAGAAGCAAGGCCCATGTGCATCACCATTGACCACAAGACCTCAGAGAGCTCTGTAAGAAAACAGAAACACTTTTTAAGAAACACATTTTTTCTCCACATTGCATATTGAGTAGTGGTCGACCGACATGTGTTTTTTGACAGCAGATGTCGATATCTTGGAAAGCAGGGTGGCCGATGGCTGATATAAAGCTGATATAATTGTACACTCTTTCATTAATATTTAAGAAATTTGAAATAATTTGAAAATGGATAAAAAAAATTAATTTGTAAAATAAACATACTTACACTTTAGATGACAAAGTATTTTGCACAAATAAATAAATATTTAATTAAAATATAATTAAAAAGGAAGTAAACTGCAACCAACAGAGCACTGTTTTATTTTTCAAATAAAGCCATGGTAACACTCATTATACATACAGCACACAGTGAAAATGACATGAATATGACAGTGGGCAAATGCATAAAGGGCAGCATCATTTGAGATCACGAATTTAATGTTTAAAGCATTCAATTTGCACTGACCGAAAGTCACGCAGAGAACATGCGATCATGCAGGTCACATGCACACTTCACAAGATCTCACAACTGGATTCCACTAAGTCTGCAAGGTTTGTGAAATTAAATTTTCATTAGCCATTCACAGATTTGTTTAAATTATGTAAATGTGTATTTGCTGAATGCTAACGGCAAACGAGAAAGTATTATAATGTTTGCCTTTCTATTACTAATAATATAAAAGCAATCGTTATAATACTTTTTGTATACATTTTAATTCCTTTGTTTAACAGCTCTATCTGATTATTAGACAGACTTCTATCCGTATTAGACAGAACTGTTAACGACGACGGCGAACAAGAGGGAGAATGTGAGCACTGTGTGCTCAAGCGCAGCCGCTCTCAGCGCCTCGAACACATCGGCCAAACAGAAAAACTTATCGGCCAATGCCGATATTTGAAAAATGCCAAATATTGGTCAATATATCGGCCTTGGCCATATATCGGTCGACCACTAATATTGAGAGGAAAAACATACTGACATTTATACAGGGTTGCAATTCATGAATTTCCATTACATGAATAGTGCATGGATTTTATTTCGTTTTTTATTTATTAGAGATTACAAAGAGTTTAATTGCTAGTCTATAAATTAGAACTAAGCATAAACTAATTTCTATGTATTTCCCAGGCCTGGAAATCAGTTCCAAAATTCGCTGATATTACCAGGTTTTTCATGATCATGGGAATTCTGTTCATACTTCCTTTGGGTGGAATCAGTACAATAAAAGTGAGTATTACTTACGCGCATGGGCCAGACTCAGTGCCCAAAGCCGTAGATAAGAGGCGGTATTTGAGATGCAGCCTAAGCAGTATTCTATAGTGTGAATGGCTTGATGCACTGCAACATCTGCAAAATCAAACTAAAGAGAGAAAGAAAGAGAGCAGTAAGACCAGTTCAGACTAATGAAAATACAAACATCTAATCCCACTCCCAGCTCAATCACAGCATGATTAGCAGCCCTGAATCTCACGGGCATGAGAACAAAATCACAGCACAGGGTCTTTCAGATCATCAGCATTACCTGGTGTGATTTATATCGTAATTACACTCCAGCACGGCTCACTGGATCATTCCTATGTAATGATGGTGGCTAAAAAAAAGGAGAATTAATGTCTAGAAAATAATCTAATTGTACTGGAAAAAAACCGAACACCAACTACAGGAGACAACCCAAGACTGAAGCCTGCAGTAACACACACAAGCCACCAAGCAAGAGGATTGGATGGGTGATGGTGCACACACACACAAATGTAAAAAATGACAACAAACATCTACACAGAGAGTCGAGTAGGCTGTCTGCTCTTACCACTTCCTCCTCTGACAGCTTGGAAGGTAATCAGACACATGCACAGACAGACACACAGGGTTAAAATAAGGTTAATAAGGAATCTGATGAAGAGATAGTGAGAGGAAAAATACACTTAGATTTACAGAAAATGCAAAGATCAGTCACAGCAAAATGCAGTTGCCCCAAAAAGTATACAGACATTTAAATCACACCTACAAATGAATGACGTTAAATAAAATATAATAAAGCAAGTGGCATTTATTTTAAAGAAACACAAGTAAAACACATCATAAAAAGACGTTCAGATGGACAATATTTTGGACATTTTCTGTTTGTCAAAAGAGGAATGTGATGTGATGAACTACACCTGCTAAGACACCTTTGCGAAACTGAGGGGGACTGAATTATATGTCCACTAAAAATCGGTTGAGAAATGTAAGCTATTTACAAGGTCTAGTGTCATTTGTATGCAGATGCCACTTGGTTTTTGTAAATTGATACATTTTTAAGTGCGGCTTCAGTGACCAATTACTTTATAGAGTCACTGAAAAGGCCAAAATGAGACAGATAAACAATCCTGGGGATTTGACTTCAGTCTCCAGTAAATTGACTTTAATGGCTGACTGTGGTTTACTGGCAGGCCTGTTTGGAATGGAAAGAGGAAGATTATTTGGCACTAACACAATGAAATGATTGCATCTCAAACCTCAAAATAATGCAGGTTATCTGTCTCCATTTTATTTCCAGAGAAAAGAAACCCAATTAGCCAGGTGGGTGTTTGTTTAGTGTTTTGAGGCTGGTGGCCATGGGATACAGTGGTTGGGGGGGAGAGATAGTGCTTTTAAAAGGGGCTGCCCCAGTTTAGACCAGCACTGGTATGCAGATCACAGATCCAGTGAGTCACAGAATGGAATGCCCACTGCAGGCGAGTGACCCCACTGCC